AGTGGTCCCCAACCTTGGGCCTCCAGATGTTCTTAGACTACAAGTCCCAGAAACCTTCACCACCACCTCTGCTGGCCAGGATTTCTGGGAGATGAAGTCCAAGAACATCTGGAGGCCCAAGGTTGGGGACCACTTCCTTATCATGTCCATCTTTGCACAAAATGTTCCTTTAATATCTCCCAATTTTCTTGAACAGATCCCTGGTTTTTCCCTTTTTATTATTTTCCTCTATATCTTTGCACTGTTCATTTAAGAAGTCCTTCTTGTCTTTTCTGGCTATTCTTTGTAAGTCCGCATTCAATTTTCTGTAACTTATCTCCCTTGCATTTTGTTTCTCTTCTCTGCTATTTGTAAGGCCTCGCTGGACAGCCACTTTGCTTTCTTTGGGATGGTTTTTGTTGCTGCTTCCTGTACAATTCAGACTAAATGCCATTAAAAACCAGTGTAAAACATGTTAATTATGACCTGTTTTGTTTTACTGGCTTCAGTGTGTGTGGTGTAAATATCAGACATATAAACATAAAAGAAACATATGTTTCTTATGAGAAAGATTGTTAGGGCAGGTAGAGTGGGACAAGAAACAGAAGGCTAACATTTGCTTGAAAGTAATCTCCATTTTAATGATTACATTCATTTCCATTTAAAGATGGTTGTGAATTTAAGGTTACCCACTTGTTGAAAAACAGTTGTTTGTGTTTGGGTAAGAAGTCGTTAACTGATTTAAAAAGCAGTGAACTTCTGAGATTTTCCCTTGCTTGGTGCCACTTTGTCAGTGGTAGTGAACACAAGAGGGTATTGTGAAGACCAGTGGTTCCAAACCTTGGGTAACATAGGTGTTTTTGGACTGCAACTCCCAGAAGCCTTCATCACTTATCTCCTTGCTGGTTGGGGTTCCTGGGAGTTGCAATCCAAGAAGACCTGAGTTACCCAAGGTTGGGAACCATGGAAGTAGCCATTGGTGCCATTGGTGCTGGCAACATGGGCACTATATTGTACACTGGCACCTGCTGGCAACATGGGCACTATATTGTGCTCTGGCGCTCTGCCAGTGGTCAGTTCAAATTCCTAGCAAGAGGAATTTTGTTTTTTTTTTCCCCAGCTGCTGGGAAGGGTGCAGATGGAGATGATCTTCTTGGACTCTACTCTTATACCTGCTGGCACACATCCAAACTATACCTCTCCACCCTCAAATGTTAACCCTCATTTAAAAAAAAGACTTCCCATCCCATTGTTATAAGAGAGAGTGCATCCTATTGAATTCAGTAGATCTTTGACTGGATAGATGTCAGTTTGTACCCAGAATTTTGCTGTTCTATTGCAATTCAGGTCATTTGCAATTAAATCTCAGCTCTTTTTATCTAAAGTGGCTATGACTGACCTGCTGGAGTTGTGCCCCTCTCCATATTACAGAATGTGGTCCACTCCTGAGGAATCTGTACTAAACTGGATAGAATATGGTGACATTTTATACAAAAAAGTATGACTGATGCAACAACCCTTGTATTTTCTAGGCATTCACTGTTGAGGTTCAGCTGTACGTCCATCTGAACAAACATGGCAGAAGGTGGATTTGATCCCTGTGAATGCATTTGCTCACATGAACATGCCATGCGGAGGCTGATCAATCTGGTGAGGGCAATGTGTTTTGTCTATGAGTTTCTTCGCATATGTCTTTCAAACCTGATTTTCAGTAAATATATTAGCTCTCCTGAATATTTTTTATTTGAGTGTTTAAGCTACACAAGCTTGCAAAGTACCTGTCTCAACTGCTCTTTGTCTTTTGAGCTGTCTTCCCACAAATTCCCTTATGGTGTCCTATGTTAGTATCTGGTACAGAATGGAAAAATAGATATCCAGATGGCATGGGCATGTTGGGATAGATAAGAATGCCCTCCTATTGAAATTTGCTAATTTTGCTTGTGCTTATATCATAATGTGAATGTATGGCCCTTCAAAGATTGTCAGACTAAAATTCTCATCACCCCTTACCACCAGTGGCACCAGTTAAGGCTGACTCGAGCCGTATTCTGACAGCTTTTAGAGTATCATATGTTCTCCATCACTTCGCCTCCTTATCCAGAGTGGAAATGTGTTATTGAGAATACTCTTTTCTTTAATGTTGGGTGTAATTTGCGCTGCAGCATAAGAGAAAGGGAGTGTACAACCTTTACAATTAGTCAAGAAAAAGCCCATAAATTGGTAGGGCATTATACATTGCAAGGGAGTTAATTTGGTAGTATTTTGTGCTTAAAACTAACAACTGATTATATAGAGTTTAGAAAGCCCATGATATTCCATTGCATGTATGGATGGTGTTATGGCTTCCTGACATTTTAGACGTAGTTTCAAAAACAAATGGAGATAAAAGCTTTTTGCATACAATTTGGTAGTTATGCAAGTCTTCAGGAATAATTTCTACACTCAAGAAATCACACAATTTCTTGGGCATGCTTGTTGGTAAATATGTATGAACTGAGCAGTCAGAACTTAATACTTACTGTAAATGTGATTACTTATATGGTTTATGATCACTTCTGTTCTAAAGCTTTCCTGAAGGTAATATAATCTCAGCTATATACCATATTTTTTCATGTATACGATGATACTTTTCTCTAAAATATTTAGATAAAAAATTTAGGGCTGTCTTATACACGGAAGTAAGGAGGGGAAGGGATCAAAGTGCTCTGATTTTCCCCCTCCACTTTTTGCGAAGAAAGTGGAGGGTAAAAGCACTTTCCTTGCAATGAACTGCTATCTTGTGAGGAAAGTGCTTTCCCCCTCCACTTTCTTCCGAAGAAAGTGGAGGGAGGAAGCACGTTTCTTGCTAGAAAGTGGAGGGGAAAAGCAGGAATCAATTTTGTTTCCCTTCTCTGCTATTTGTAAGGCCTCCTTGGACTGCCACTTTGCTGTCAAAGCGCTTTGATTCCTGCTTCCCCCTTCCACTTTTCTCTCAAGAAAGTGCTTTCTTGCGAGGAAAGTGGAGGGGAAAGCACTTTCATGCAAGGAAAGTGGTGGGGGAAAGCACTTTCCTCACTAAAAAGTGGAGGGGGAAAGCAGGAATCAAAGTGCTTTGATGATTCCTGCTTCCACCCTCCACTTTCTAGTGAGGAAAGTGCTTTCCCCCTCCACTTCTATCACAATAAAGTGTTTCTTGCGAGGAAAATGGAAGGGGAAAGCATTTTCCTCGCTATAAAGTGGAGGGGTGGATGCAGGAATCAAAGCGCTTTGACCCCTGCCTTCCTCCTCCACTTTCTTGTGAATAAAGAAATTCTGGGTTAGGAAAGTCTTATATGCGGGGGTGTATGATACACGGAAAAATACAGTAGTCTTTTAAAGGAACATGAGTAGTAATAAATCCCCCCGCATTGTGTTACCTGGGAAATGATGTACTTTAAAGAACAGCCCATTCTCACCCCTTTACTTTTCATATCTCTTATATAAGTCAGAAAAGACACCATTCACAATGGTTTTTAATGTCAACATCAAATTAACAACCCACTTTTATGCCTGTCAACTTGGAATTATCCCAGTCAGCAATTGAC